TATCCAAAATAAAACACAGAAGGAAAACAATAACTTAAAAATGAAAAGATCATCAGTGAGCTGTGAAACAACTGCAAAAGCCTAATATATATATAATAAATATCGCAAGGAATGAAGTAAAGAGGTGCAGAAAAAAATATAGAAAGAAACAATGGTAAATTTCCAAACTTTATAAAAACTCTAAACCCACAGTTCCAAGAAGCTCAATGAAGCACAAGAAACAAATAAACTTACACTAATGATCATCATAATCAAGTTGCTCAAACCAGAAAATCTTAAAAGCAGCCACTGACATTGTAAAGACCTTCAGCACGTTCTCCTTAGGATTTCCTCTCCAGACCACTTTGACCCTTTCTCCTGTATTTCATATATAGAATTTCATGAATAATATAAGTAGAAACCAATTTAACATTGGTTAGCCTTAATTATCGAGTTCTACCTTCTGTTTAAGTAGGAGGATGGGAAGATTCTTTTCTATTCTCTGCTATTCTTGAAGTAAAGACAAGGATTGTCATAAATGAAAGCAATAATTACTGAGTAGTTTTATCAGTTATTTTTCTTATAGTACCTTATAAACTATTTGCAATGATCCTGTGCTATCCCAATTTTATAGATGCTAGAAAAGGCTCAATCAGCAAAATATCCATTGTAGCACAACTAGACTGTGTAATATCTAGCTGATTCCAAAGTACACACTTTCTATTACTTGAGGTTAAAGTTTTAGATTTTAAAATTAAAAAATGCCTTGACTAAGTGGAAATTATCCCCATTACCTAACTGGTAGATGTTATAGTTGTCTTCTCAAAAAGGATTCTGTAACTTCTTAATTTTGCATCTATTTCCCCATCTACCATAGGGCTTTAGGGATTGATCCCAGTTCCTGAGGTGGATTTTGATTAGTCCAAGCTAGTCTGGGTGTCCCAATATTCTTGCTTAGAGTAGAGATAACCAGGCTAACACCCATAAGCTGGTACCTTGACTTGGGTCTTGTTCAGGATAAACATATAGCCACCTTTTGTGATGAACAATAAGCATAGGTTTTTTGGGGCAAACTCTAAAAAAAGTTTCCTCACTTTAAAAAAAGAAATAGAGTGATGGTCTTCCCCTCTCATGAGACACAAACAAAGAAACATGCAGTGGCAACTACAATTAGCAATTATCCTAAAACCAGCATTGAGATAAAGCCATGGATGGCAGAGAAAGATGGAAATAGCTTGACGTTGTAAGTGTATAATTATACAAGTAGATTAATCCATCTTGACCTCACCCTTCTTTTGATTTCCCATTCCATGAGCTAGTTAAAATTTTTGTTTTTGTTTTTCTGTAATGGTGGTTATTGTTTCTTCCTGTTTAATGCTACAATTTACCTGAATGCCAAGACAAAATTAATCTTGATTTAATTTGAAGTACGAATAAGGGATGAGCAAGATGAACGTAAGCCCCAATATCTTAGGGAGCAAGCCTAAAATTGTGACCTGGGATGGTAGAGACACAGGAAAAGTAAACATGTAAAGAGGATGCCATTATTTGGCATATTTCACATTGTTTCCTTCTGTGGCTTAAACATGTGTCCTACCCAAAATTCATGTTGAAGCTTAAATCCCCACTGTATTTGGGGAAGTGATTATATCCAGAGGGCTCCACCCCATGAATGGATTAGTTCCTTATTAAACGGCTGGAGGAAACTAGCCTAGTTTCTTCTGTTCTTCTACCATGTGAGGACACAGTGTTCATCGCCCTTTGCCTTTTCTGTCATTTCTGCGATGTGTTGACACCTAGCCAGTGCTATATATGAGGAACAGGCCTTCACTACACACCAAACCTACTAGCCACTAAATGTTGGACTTCCCAGCCCCAGAACTGTGATAAATAATTTTTGTTGTTTACAAATTCCCTAGTCTCAGGTATTTTGTTATAGCAGTACAAATGGGCTAAGAAACTTTCTATAAACAACTCTCATGTCAATAGATCATTGCCTTGGCAATTGTAGCTGAGATGCCACTTTTCAAGATGGTGCTCCTAGATGCAGTCTTTTTATGCCCCTACACCCTTCTCTGTTCTACTCTCCCTTCTGCTAGCTATTCTTGTGTGGAAGAGAGTGGCAGGGCATTTCAAATTGCATTGAGGGTGAACTTAGATTGTGTTTGGAGCAGATATTATGGATATAAAGTTTATGGAATAATTCAGGGGAAATATCAAATGTATATGGAGTTTGAGAGAGATTTGGTAATAATTTAAGAGTGTAGCCCATACTTTATCTTGGTATGATATCTAGCACATAGCAGTTCTCAACAGACATGCTGAGTAAAGGAATGAAGGAATTAAAATGAATTAAAAGCTAAATAGATGTTTCCCAAGAATAAACTGTTTTAAAGACCATTAAGAGTCAGAAACTGAACTGGCAGCAGCAACTATCAGAAAAGCTATCTGATTCCTGTCACCTGCTTCTGTGCAAAAAGAAAAGGAAACTATCAGTGTTATTGTAACCTGCCATTATTCTTCACAGCTTCTTTTAAAACAACCCTGTCCCTTCTTTTCCCCCAAAGCTGCAAAATAAAAATTAAACTTGCATTTATTTAAGCATCAAACATCCACTGAGCCTTTATTCTGTGTCATCCTTTTACACATAACTAAGAACATGAATAATTTGGAAACCTTAAAATCATACTAGAGGATATCTGTCATTTGTGAACCTGCAGCCCAGTCCTCACTTTCTGTAATGCAGCTTTAAGACTTGTATAAAGAAAACAAACTATAATTTTTTTTTATTTTTAGATGCTAATTTTCACACATTTCTCCAAAATTCACATAGACTTTTGCTAGGTTATAATGAGAAGGCAAACAAACACCAAGTCTTACTGGCTTGCAACAACAGTTAATTCTCACTCATTACAAACTGGCAACCTCAAGTCGGCTGCAGGTCTTATCTACAGACCTTCTCTTTTCAGGACCCAGACTGAAAACGCAGCTCCTGTTTGAGACATGCCTTTCTCTTTCGGCAATGGAAAAGAGCAAGAGCTTAAATTACTCTTCAAGCTTCTGCTGGGACTTGGTGAACATCATGTTTGCTCAGATGCACTGGCCAAAGTCAGTCAAATGCTTCCTTTTTCTGCTTCACCATGAAGGATTTGCTACAAATGTTGGGCAAAGGACAGAGATATACATCTTCTTACAGGAGGGAGTTTAAATATTGGGGTGCTAACGTACATAACTCATTACTTTGGGAGGAACATGACTAACATAAAAAAGAGACAACATTCCACATTTTTAGCATTTTATTACTTAAATATAGCATTTTTGTTAAACAAATGTTTATTAAGCACCCCTTTTGTTCCATATACTGTTCCGGGTGCTTGTTATGTATTAATGAACAAAATGAAAAAAAAAATTCTCTACCTTTTTGGAGCTTACTCACTAAACTTTTAAAATAAAATAAGCCTAATAAATAAGTTAATAGTACAGTGAGATGCTCTTTTTCCCTCTTTTTTAATTTAAATAACATTTACAAATAATTAGCAAGTTGTCCACTTTTAAGTCACACCACAAACATGGCTGAAAATGTGCACAGCTATTGAGAAATCCGGGGTATAAACAAAAGTACAAGTAAGTACGACATGTCAACTAAATAACAAGCTCTCATTCTGTTAGCATCTGCTCCTTAATTATCTTAACATCCAAAGTGTTTGAGGCTCTGTGCCAAGAAATGCAAAATTTTTTTTGTTCAAGAATGTATGGGTCAGATATTCAAATTAGCTAACAAGTTACTTTTGTTTCATAATAAAATAATTACATTTTAGAACCGGAAGGCACCCGAGAGATTTTACACTGATCTCTGTTCATTAGGTATAATAGACCCTCTTTATCCCTTTCAAGTAAAAGTATGTTTCCATTAGTCACTCAGTCCAAACCTTGTTAGGCTGCCAAAACATTTTCATAAAAGAAATGGAAACAAAACAGTAAGATAAGAGCTTATTCCATATGTCGAACTTTGGTGTTGGGCTCTAAAGTCACCACTGTTTTAGTTCACATGCTCAGAGACTGCTCCCCAAACCTAAAACTTGGTAAGGTAGCTGGCTCCTGAGGAGTGAAGAATCTGACACCCACTGCACTGGAATCAGTCTTTTTCAGCACCCTAAGGCACTTAGCTCTAATGAACTGCCCAGACTCCCCTTTGCATCATGACGAGTTCCTCTCTAGAGCCCGTACTGTCTGCTTTTGACAGCCAACCTTACGGAATACTGACTTAATCAGGGGATCCCAATAACATTTAATATTTATCTTCATTTTCCGGGAGGAATCTATATCCATCCAAGTTGCCCAAGTGAGTAGTTCCCTCTCCCAAGTAATTAGTTCTACTCCCCAGGGAGTCTGTGGGTGCATCCCTCTGTCCCCTTTGAAATGTCCATTATAGCTTTCCTCTGTAAATATGTCAATACGTATCCAAAAGATGCGAATCTTTTTTTTTTTTTGAAACGGAGTTTCGCTCTTGTTACCCCGGCTGTACTGCAATGGCGCGATCTCGGCTCACCGCAACCTCCGCCTCCTGGGTTCAGGCAATTCTCCTGCCTCAGCCTCCTGAGTAGCTGGGATTACAGGCACACACCACCATGTCCAGCTAAGTTTTTGTATTTTTAGTAGAGACGGGGTTTCACCATGTCGACCAGGATGGTCTCGATCTCTTGACCTCATGATCCACCCGCCTCGGCCTCCCAAAGTGCTGGGATTACAGGCTTGAGCCACCGCGCCCAGCCGAATCTTTAAAAATGTATTCGTAATGCTACTATCACATGCAAAAATTAAACATAATTCCTTAACATCATCGGATATCCAGTGTTCAAATTTTTCCAGTCTCACGTTTTGGTACATTTTAAAATAACCATATGTTTAACTCGTTTTCATCTCCAAAACTTTGATTTCCTCTCCACTCTCCTGGGAGTCGCGCTTCCCTCTTGGTGCTTCCCGCCCTTGCAGTCCCTTGGGAACCTGAGGAGTCAGCAGCAAAAGAGCTGAAGAACTACGCGAGGCAACGTGCTGGAAACCGTAGCCTACGGAACTGAAGTCACGCCTCCCATGCGAGCTCTGGAGGGAGCGCTTTATGTGTTGCACTGCGGGTAGTCTCCGGAAACGCGATTCGCAGCGGGCGCAGGAAGCGGTCTTGAATCTCCAGCTGCGGCCGAAGACTGTTAAACTACACACGCTGAAGGGGTTGGTTACGTGTTTTCTTCCTTCAGGACCGGAGCGGAGAGGAGCTGGGATCGCCGCAGCAATGGAACAGGCCTCGGAAAGGCGCACGGCCAGCGCGCTCTTTGCGGGGTTCCGGGCCTTGGGGCTTTTCAGCAACGACATTCCACACGTGGTGCGGTTCAGCGCTCTCAAGCGCCGGTTCTATGTAACAACCTGCGTAGGCAAGAGTTTCCACACCTATGACGTGAGTGACTTCTTTGGTTGGCTTCCCAGGAATCATCCTCCCCGGCCCCTAACTCTGTCCTGGAGCAATCCGGTTTTCTCTTCCCACCTACCATGGGCTTACTTTCTTTAACCCTTCTCTGTCCTATTAATGTTTCACCATCCGGTCACATAACACGTGCTGATTTAGCATTTGCAGTCCTCCTAGGGCGAGTTTCAGAGACAGGCTGGCCAAGGGTAAACTGCTAGGCAACATCTCAGTTCTATTGCAATAATATTTCTTCAGTGAATACTTACTGATCTTCCCTTGAAGGTGGAAACATAATTAAGACAAATCTCTACCTCTTGCATTATTAATGAGAGAGAAAAACACGCACGCTATTACGTTATTGGTGACACGATCTGGGTTAGAAATTCACACTAGGTAGAATGCATTGGGAGTATCAGAGAGGGCGAGATTAATTACGGTTAGGGAAAATATCTGATAACAATCAGTTATTTTCAACTAACGCTAAGTGTCTGGCACTGTCACTCTTAGCCTTGCAGCCGTTTCTTGGCAAGGTAGATAACATTATACCGTAGCACCTTTATGTGAACTATAAAGGTAAATTTCGGCCGGACACGGTGGCTCAGCCTGTAATCCCAGCACTTTGGGAGGCCAACGCAGGCCGATCATCGAGGTCAGGATATGGAGACCATCCTGGCCAACAGGGTGAAACACTCTACTAAAAAAACAAAAATTAGCTGGGCATGGTGGCGCGCGCCTCTAGTAGTGCCAGCTACTTGGGAGGCTGAGGCAGGAGACTTGCTTGAACCCGTGAGGCGGAGGTTGCAGTGAGCCGAGATTGGGCCACTGCACTCCAGCCTGGCGACAGAGCAAGACTGGTTTCAAAAAAAAACACAGGGCCGGGCGCGGTGGCTCAAGCCTATAATCCCAGCACTTTGGGAGGCCTAGGCGGGTGGATCACGAGGTCAACAGATCGAGACCATCCTGGTCAACATGGTGAAACCCCGTCTCTACTAAAAATTACAAAAAATTAGCTGGGCACGGTCGCGCGTGCCTGTAGTCCCAGCTACTCGGGAGGCTGAGGCAGGAGAATTGCCTGAACCCAGGGGGCGGAGGTTGCGGTGAGCCGAGATTGCGCCATTGCACTCCAGCCTGGGTAACAAGAGCGAAACTTCGTCTCAAAAAAAAAAAAAAAAAACACAGAAGTAAATTTCAGAAAAATTGTTACTTGTCAGTGAAGATTTTTTTCCTTTAAGAGCTTCCTAATCGTTGTAATAGTGTCTCTTGTTTACTAATTTCTTTTGTCTTCTCCAAAAGAATGTAAGCTCTATGAGAGCAGGAACCTTGATGATGAGAATGGTAATAGTGTTAAGTACTTTATTTTCTGGAAAACATATTGTAGAGTTGTCTCTCTTGGAAGATTGTGAATATCAAATGGATTATTAGCAAGAAAAGCTGGGAGTTGGGAACCAGTTGAGTTAGTGGAATAGGAAAGTGAGGGCTGAGTTGAGGTCAATAGCAATTGGGTTTCTCAGTCTGGCTTTGTAATGGAGACAGGGTGGGTTAGAACCATACCATTAATCCTGTGAGAGTATTATTATCATTTTCTGCACTTGGTCCTTGTTCGCTAACTTTTGCTGATTATGTTTTTTTCTAGGAAATGTAATTTTTCTAAGTTTCTCTCTTAAAGAGCTTTTGAAATCTTGTCTTTGGTACAGTGTCTTTCCTGACACTGTGTTACACACAAACACGTGTTTTCCCCTTCATTCTACTGCCAAAGAAACCCTTTGGTTAGGAGTTACATATTTGCACATTTTATAAAGTCAACAATTTACTTACAGTGTATTGACATTTAGTCACAATAAAGATGGCTTTTAAGGTCTCCTCTAGTTGTAACACTGATGATACATTTGTAACATCATGGCATGTAAATGCTCTTTACCCAGACTACACTGCTCAGACTAGCCAATGCATTGGGCTATGACCTCTGAAACTGAAAATACTTGGGAGTGAAAAAAACAAAAAAATGGTGCTAATGAACAAGTCACTAATTGGGTCTACAAGTGCTCAGTCCCATGACTATGGCTATATATGCTGTCCCCAGTCAGACTTCCTACAGTCCTATGGAGTAGCTGTTTCTACAGGGGGAACTAGACAAGTTGTGAATAGTTGCTGGTAGTGATGGTAGCAGCTATGATGTATTGAGCAATTACTATATGACTGGCCCATTCTGTTTTACACAAATTTACTCATTGAATCCTTTTAACAGTCCCATAAAGTAAATAAATTCCTGTTTTACAGATGAAGAATTTGAGGCACAGGGAGCTTATTTTTCTAGGGTCCTACAGTTGGATCAGTAGCCATGATTGAGTGAGCAAATTAGAGTCTGCAAGCCAGTCTAGCCCACTGCTTGTTTTTGTATGTCCCAGGAGTTCTGAATGATTTTGACATGTTTAAATGTTTGCAGGGTCAGGCTGGGGGTGGGGAGAAGGATATTTCATGACATGCAAACTTTGTGAAAATCAAATGTCAGTATCTATGGATAAAAGTTTAATACACCCATGCACATTATTTATGTATTGTATATGGTTGTTTTCATGCTATAGTGGCAGAAGTGAGTAGTTGCAACAGAGACCACATGCATGGCCTGCAAAGCCTAAAATATTTAATATTTGACTCATTATAGAAAACTTTTGTCTACACTTTTCATCACCACTCCTGGTGAAATATAGTTGAAAATATAAACTTTCCGGCTGGGCGCGGTGGCTCACGCCTGTAATCCCAGCACTTTGGGAGGCCGAGGCGGGTGGATCATGAGGTCATGAGATCGAGACCATCCTGGTCAACATGGTAACACCCCGTCTCTACTAAAAATACAAAAATTAGCTGGGCATGGTGGTGTGTGCCTGTAATCCCAGCTACTCAGGAGGCTGAGGCAGGAGAATTGCTTGAACCCAGGAGGTGGAGGTTGCGGTGAGCCGAGATCGTGCCATTGCACTCCAGCCTGGGTAACAAGAGAGAAACTCTGTCTCAAAAAAAAAAGGAAAATATAAACTTTTCTAATAACAAAAATTAGGATCAGTAAGTGTCTTTCTTACGAAGGACAGCATAGCAAATATACGTATGAGGTTGTATCTTTATCTTCAGGTATTAGGTTATTATGATTGTGTTTGTTAATGAAAATTTAACCTTTTTTCTTTTCTTAAACAGGTTCAGAAACTGAGTCTGGTTGCAGTAAGTAAGTATAGACTTTATTCTGAATTTATGCATATCTAAAAAATTTTTTTTTATTCTGACATAAATTTGAGATTTATGGAACATATAAGGAAGCCAGGGTAACATGTATGTCTGATAAACTTACATATCAGAAACAAAAAAGGATACCAGGATAGAATCATGTTTTGTTTTCAGTTGTTACATATCTTTTATCTTTTTTAATCTGAAACTGTTTTTTAGCCTTTCTTTGTGCTTCATGATATTGACACATTGACATTTTTGAAGAGTACAGGCTCATTTAGAATGTCCTTCAGTTTGAGTTTTTTTGACATGTCTTCAGGATTAAATTCAGGTTGTACCCTTTGGCAGGAATCACAGTGAATTGTATCGGAAGGCACATGCTGTTGGTGAGTTCTATTCCTGGCAGTCACTGGTTAGGAGGCTCCATTTTAAAATTAGTGTTTTGGCCTGGGTTAACAATAAGTATCTTTTGGTAATATGCACTGGGACTATGTAAATATTGTAGTACTCTTCAGAGTTATCACCACTGCTTTTAGCATTTTATGATACTTGCCTGAATCAGTTCTTAGTATGATGGTTGCCAAATATATTTTGATCATCCTTAATCTAAAAATTTGAAACCCAAAATGCTCCAAAATTTGAAACTTTTTGAGAACTGACATAATGTTTAAAGGGAAATGTTCATTGGAACATTTCTCATTTCAGATTTTCAGATTAGTAATGTTCACCTGGTTATGCAAATAGTCCAAAATCCAAAACACTCTGAAATCTGAAACCCTTCTGGTCTCAAGCATTTCAGATAAAGCATTGTCAGCCTGAAGTGATTTTCTTTTGCCATTATTCCTTCTACTATAAGGAAAAAATTTCCCTTTTCTCACATTTTGGTATGTTTTTTCAGTGGAAGAGTTTTGTTTTGTTTTGTTTTTGAGATGGAGTTTAGCTCGTCTTGTCCAGGCTGGAGTGCAGTGGCGCGATCTTGGCTCACCGTGACCTCCACCTCCTGAGTTCAAGTGATTCTCCTGCCTCCGCCTCCCGAGTAGCTGCGATTACAGGCATGCGCCTCTATGCCCAGCTAATTTTGTATTTTTAGTAGAGATGGGGATTCTCCATGCTGGTCAGGCTGGTCTCGAAGTCCTGACCTCAGTTGATCTGCCCATCTCAACCTCCCAAAGTACTGGGATTACAGGCTTGAGCCATTGCACCGGCCTTGTTTTTTTATTTTATTTATTTATTTTTTTTAACTAATAGGATAAAGCATTTCTCAGGGCTGAGAAATGCTTTTACCATCAAATACGGTCGAGAGAAACAGAAAAGACCTACAAGGACTGTAATGTGTATGTCTATTAAACTTACATTTTAATAATAGAAGGCAGAAGAAAGGCATTGGAACTTAAGTTGAATACAAAAGTGAATGATAAACCTATAGAAACGGGATTATGCAAACAAATCCTAATATGGAATTTGCAGCATGAAAAATACAACAATCCTGTGTCTTCTAACCCTCACGCCCCAAAAGAGGAAATGAAAAGGTCGATATGACCAGGATAATGAGAGAAGAATCACATATCATGTGAGAAATGCTAGATTGATAGGCATATTTACCTGGAGAAGACTGTAGAAACAACATTGTCTTTAAATGTTTTAGGAGTAGACATACAGAATACCATATGGAATATTTTTGGGTTGGTCCAAAGGGTAGAGTTAGAGATCTAGGTTTTGAGTTACTTTTAAAATTTTTCTGGAGTTATTAGTCAACTTGATGTTCCAGAAGATATTCACATGTTCGTATGGGCCAAGCACAGTGGCTCATGCCTGTAATCCCAGCACTTTGGAAGGCTGAGGCAGGCAGATCACCTGAGGTCAGGAATTCAAGACCAGCCTGTCTAACATGGCAAAGCCTCTACTAAAAATGCAAAAATTAGCCAGTCATGGTGTTCCTAGCTACTTGGGAGGCTGAGGCAGGAGAATCACTTGAACTCAGGAGGCGGATGTTGGAGTGCGCCGAGATTGCACAACTGCATTACAGCCTAGGTGGCACAACGAGACTACATCTCTCAAAAAAAAGGTGTTCACATGAAGACTGGACGACTGTCTGTCAGAGCTTTGTGTATCAAATGACAGTTTTTTTCCAAATAACCTCAAAAAGCTTCTTTTCATTTCTCTAGGATTATGTTTTTATTTCTGCAAATCCTAGACATTCGTTCTCTTAGGGAAGGACAAGGTGATTTCCTATCCTTAGTTTCATAGTTACTTCTAGATATCTAAAATATTTTAGTCAAAATTTTATGTTCTGATTCTCAACTTTGATCTTTATAAATATTTTTAAATTATAGCCATGAGAAATGTTATATATATATATATATATATATATATATATATATATATATTTGAGGTTTCTCTTTAACATCTTAAAAATTCTTGTTTCATCCATTTTGTATTTTCTCCCAGGTAATTCTGTTCCACAGGATATCTGCTGTATGGCAGCTGATGGCAGATTAGTCTTTGCTGCATATGGAAATGTTTTCTCTGCATTTGCCCGTAATAAAGAGGTTTGTAGCACTAAACTATTTTAATTTATTTGTCTTTTGCAGTCAGTAGTTATTTGTCATGATAGTGGAGGGAACTTTAATTTTTGTCATTCTTTACCTGACACACACTGGAAATATACAGTATTCTCTTATTTCTAATGTATATTCAGTTTTCGGGAGGAAGATAAATTTTCAGAAAAGGCCTACTAAAAACTGGTGCTTTACTCAGTTTCTTTGTCAGAGATGAGTATCAGAATTACTTGGATACCTTCTTTAAAATTTTTTATGCCCAGTCAGTTCCCATCTCATGAGTGTTTTGTTCTGTGTATTTGTTGAGATAGGATGTAATATGTATTATTAAGTGTTTTTTTTTTTTTAATGCTTTCCTGGGAATATTTTACTACCACTTTATGTGGATTGGTTATTTACTATGCATAACTTAGCTCATAACTCTTTTTCTAAAAACCAGATGTTTGTTCCCTGTTTACGGAATGCTAGATTCTATGTTTTCTCCATTGCTAAGAAAAGAGCTTTTCGGGCCTAAATCTACCAGTTGTTTTTTGAATTTGTCCTAGAACAACTAGCTTGAGAGATGACCTGGCTTTAATGGTCTAGTATTAAAGGAAAAGTAGGAATGGGGATACAAAGATAGCCAAATGATAATATCACTGTACTTGTCAGGGACTTGGAGTGAGGTAGTTCTCAGTCTTTTATCATCACTACCTGTGGCAGAGGAAGGTAACTTACCTGTGGAGTTCTTTAATAGAAGGTGTTCAGATTTTTAGAATTGGGAAGAATGTTCATTTTTATATTGTTTATAGTTTTCTCAGGGAGATATATGTGATTCACATAAGGAGACTTTATCCTATATGTATATCCTATATGTGGTTCAGATGCAGAGACTTTAATAAAGGACCTATATGCACAGGTATGGTCAGGGTTAGTGGAACAAAGTAGGGGTGGGGAGACATCAGATACTATCAACTGTAGGAATTTGTTACCACCCCTAATGCCAAAGGGCCAAGGAGAAGAAACAATGTTACTGGAATTTCGTAAGGACTGAAACCATGGAGAAAGGGCTATACTTTTGGAAGGATCAGCTACCATAAGGGTCTCTGTGAAAGCAGAGAGGTATGGGGAAGAAGACCCCGAATCCCCCTTTCCTAACTCATCTGATGGCCAGTTGATTATGGAGTATATAGAGGTCAGCCTTCTGGAACATACCATCTTGCTAGGATATATGTAGTTGCACTGATTGAATTGGGTGAGGGACCTAGGTCTGTGTACATGCCTCCTCTCTAACCTAAGTTGGAAGGCTGAGCCTCAGAGGTCTCATTTCTTTGTTCTTAATGAACAGTTTACCTTCTTATTGTTGAACTGGATGAGGGAGCAGATGAACACGCCTGGTTCCTTGATATTTATTTGTTCATCCTAACCTGGAATAATCAAGAGTTGGGCTACATTTCTTAACAGAAGCATCTCAGGATTAGCATGTTTTTGGGATAATATGAACAATATGACATGATGATTAAGTAATTTGAAATTCTTTTAAACTTTGATGTTGTAGATAGTACATACCTTTAAGGGTCATAAGGCAGAAATCCATCTCTTGCAACCCTTTGGAGACCACATTATCTCTGTTGATACTGACAGCATTCTTATTATTTGGCACATATATTCAGAAGGTAAGAGTTAACAATTTATTTGCTTTATCTTAGGGTAGTATGTGTTTAGTTAAAATTTAAAATCTGTGTCAATATCTGTGCCAGAGGTTTTGCCTGTAAATAGTTAAAAAAAAAAAAAAATTAAAAATCTTTGACATGCATAAGAAAAAAGTTCTAAGTAAGAAAGAGATAAACAACTTTAGCAAGTTAACTATAAATTTTTGGATGTGCTTACCTCAACTAATATATTTTCCATTGCTATTTTGTTATAATATATTATTACAAATTTGATTAGTTATATTGTTTTCCCCGTGGAGTGAATATTGATATATATTCATACCTGAATAATTCTTGGTTTGTATTCCAACTTTTAGTAAAGGAGACTTTAATAGTAAACTTGATCTTATAATCAGAAGGAAAATATACATCCTTTTCCTAGGGCTATGAATCAGTTTCTTTCAACTGTGATAGTCTTAGACAGTGGCTATACTTATGGGATCATGTATCTTTAAACATGAAGAATTTATTCCTAGAATATCTACACCTTTCCTCAATAAAATACCTTCTTTGATACGCAAATTTATTGGAAAATTTAGTGAAACATTGTTTTAATTGTGGAGGAACTGTAAAGTAAAAAGCAGAATTCAAACAGAAATTTTGAATATAACCAAAGATTTCAGAGAATTTTTGATCTTGGAGCAAGTGACCACTGGCTATGCCACCCCACACTCCACAGGGTTGTAAATTTTTTTTCTTTTTCTTTATTAGAGGTTCTTTTGTGGAAATATGTGACAAGTACTCTTACAACTTTCACTGAGATGTGCCTTTTATTTTTGGCATTTTTTGAGTGGCCCATCAAACTTTCCATATAGTTAGGTCTTCATTCCCTGGAAAAGCTAAGTATAAGCACTTCACTTGGAATATTCACTCCTGCTTATGGATCAAATTACAGAAACATTAATGCTGATCTTTTTTTAAATTTTATTATCCTTTTCTGTAAAGTAATTCAAAAGGGAATGAAACTTTTAATAGTATTTTTATTAGAAGTTGTAGAAAATTTTTCATAGGCTAAATTACATTTACAAGTAGCCCTTCATTTATTTTCTCGAGGAATGTTTATAGATTAGTATCTAATTCTTTGGTTTATTTTAGCATATAAATCTTTGATATGATAGACTTTAAGCAATAAATATATGGTTATATAAAACATTTTAAACTATTTTATAAAAAATAATTATAACTTTCACTTTTGTAGAAGAATACTTGCAATTGACTTTTGATAAGACAGTATTTAAAATTTCTGCAATTTTGCATCCAAGTACCTACTTGAATAAAATACTTCTGGGCAGTGAACAAGGAAGCCTGCAATTGTGGAATGTAAAATCCAAGTAAGTATTTTAGTTAGAAAATAATATAGTTGTCACCTTATCCTCATCTATTACTTCCTAATGCATACTTAAGTCTCATTTCTCCTACTGTTGTATATTTATTTGGAGGGTTGTCTATAAATACAGTTGGTCCTCTGTATCAGAGGAGTCAACCAACTTCAGATCAAAAATATTCAAGAAAAAATAATAATAATACAACAATAAAAATCACATTTTAAAATAGTACAGAATAACAGCTATTTACATAATATTTACATAGTATTAGGTTTTTTGAATAAGCTAGAAATTAAAGTATATGCATAAATGTGTGATGGTTATATGCATTTTATGTAAGGAACTTGAGCATCTCTTAACTTTGGTATCAGCAGAGAGGTTGGGAGACCTGGAACCAATCCCCCAGGGCTACTGAGCTATACAACTGTATGCTTGCTTTTGGAGTTGTTGCTGGTGGCATCATATATATGAAAGCTGGCATGTGATCCTGACACATGTGAGACAGCTTCATAAATGCTCATTGAAAAGTATGTATTGATGGCCTAATAACTGTAAAGAATTGCTATACAGAAGGCTCTAATAAAGTAATATGAGATCTGTCAGAAAATAATAATTATGAGATTATTCTTGGGGAGCTTCTAGTTTTCCATACATGAAAATTTTCCATATATGAAGAAGGTAAAAGATGGAAAAGTAAATCAATGATAATTTAGTGCTAGCATTTAGAAATGATTTTCAGGGTTAAAAGTATTTTCATCATTTCCCATAGATACGGTGAATATCTACTATAATATTGATAGCTGGAGGGCTGGATACATGATTTTGAATACTTCTACCCATTATTTAAACATTTACCAGTAAAAAAAGGTGGCAGCTCGACTTCTTTGTAGAGCATTTAAAAAAGCAAATAAAAATATTTGACCATCCAAATTGTTTTTTCTAAAGTTTTTATGAATTCAGAAGGGAAAATAAGATTATTAAAGGTATAATGTTTTAAATCAGGGCTTCATTTCAGTTTAAGAAATACCATTGACTGCCTGCTTTGTGCTAGGTTCAGGGATGGTGACTGAAATACTATCTTTGCCCTTACAGTTATTTTCTTTAGTTCTTTATTTGATATGTACATTCTTTACTGTACTTTAAATAGCCATTTTATTCAGTAAACTAATCTGTACCCATTTACACAATTTAATATGTGATTTAATACTTTAATGATAATTATTATGATTTCAGATACTTCTGTTTGTTCCATGCATGTGTTATTTATCATTCATGACTTGCTTCTGAAATTGAGAGCAGCATAACTGTTGTCATATAACATGCAGATAATATTGTTAAAATATAAGTTAGTCCCTTTCACGACGATCTTTTTGCAGTCTTAAATTTTTTTTATTGTTGTCTGTAATATGAAATGGTTTATCACTCACAAATTTTTTTTTCCACTTTGGACATTTAATTTCTTAAAGAGGTGGCATAGCATAGTAGTTTGAGATCTAGAATTTGTCTGGATGATATTACTAACCTTGTGACGTTAGCTTAATTATCAGAATACTGTGTGGAAGAGTAAGAAATTAATAAATATCACCTATTATTTCATTTTTTAAATGTATAGCTGACTTTGGTTTTCTCCAAAAAAGAAAGCTTTCAACTATTTTTCTTCTTGTAGTAAACTTCTGTATACATTTCCAGGATGGAAAGTTGGAGTGACAGCTCTTCAGCAGGTTAGTATTTTTCTGTTAAATCAAAGAGGAAACAAAGTTAATAGGAAAATATTTTAGTTTCAGGAATCAATCATAATTTTAGACATAAAGACAAAACAATATATAGCTTAGTTTACCTTTAAAATTGTTACCCTGAAATAGTGTTTTGGAAATGTAGTTTAAAACAAGTAATATTGCCTTTGGCAATAACAGTTTTGGAATCCTTTGTGCTTATAGTTTGACTTTAAACCTATGGTTGCTATGGATCCTTCTTTACTAATCATTTTGCAGAGATATTTAGTCCAGTGTCTGGTGTAGACTGGAAATGAGTGTTCAGCAATGCAAGGGGTATTGTATGTCATGCAGATAAATTTGTCAAGATGTTGAGATTTATGGTCTGAAATAATTGGAGCCAAAATCCTAATGTTTGATTCGATGATGGACTGTTTAAGAAATAACTGTTTTTTTAATGACTCTGCAAAATATGTATAAATGAATGCATGCCTGCATTGAATCTTGTGTTTCTGTTGGCCACATAGGTAGCCAGTATACACTTATTTTTCTCAGCATCCACTGACTTTGCTTGCCCAATTTATATGTATTCCTTATCTTCTCTTACTACCATCAGTCTAGCTCCAATTTTGCCTATCCAGAAGACTCCATAAATATCAAAGGATTAGGTCCTTTGAGGACAAGGGATTATTTGTTTCAGTATCTCCAGTTTCTACACAGTGTCTGATGCAGAGTAGACACTTGATGACAAATTAATAAAACGTGTAACCTGATTCCATTCTACAATGATATTGGACATTGATCTTTGCCAAAGTAAAGAAATTCACAATAGAGCCTGTAAGACTATTGTATTATAGACCGTTATAACCATAGAATATTAGAACTGGAACAGGCTCATTGTAATACATTTTTTTGTCTTTTCCCATGTTTTGTAAGTTTACTTTGTTGGGTAAACAATTTTTCACTTCCTCTGTAATTGGTTACACATTGCCATGCATGTCACAGGCCTTGTATGTTTTTTAGGAGTTGTCTCCCTTTTCTGTTTCCATCCAATCCAGTGATCTGTAGTGATTTTATACATAGCTTTCTTTTCTGTTGTGGCTATTTTCTTATCAAAATCTTACCAGCTAAATTTTGGGAATGGGGATGGGATGTTGACTGGCAGAATTGAAGCTAGGAAGTAATTTGGAAAAATCATTTCTGAATACTTCTATGCTGAATAAAAAAGTATGCCAGAATAGTAATACTTGTGGAGTTTTTCTGCCACCTTTAGGAAGATACTTTATTATTTCTTTTGATGACACCTAAGAAATGATGCATATCATATGGATTATTAAAGCTATTTTGTTTAAGAAAACAAAATAAAAGTTTGAATAATTTAATTTTTAGGCACCAGCTGTGGATGTTGTTGCTATTGGTCTTATGTCAGGTCAAGTTATCATTCACAACATTAAATTTAATGAAACATTAATGAAGTTTCGTCAAGACTGGGGACCCATTACTTCAATTTCATTTCGCACAGGTAACTTTTAACATACTTATTGATAAGAAGAGTTAAGGAAACTTAAAATTCATTACCTTAAAATTGAGAAAATTTTTTTGGCATCTGGTAGCTTAATCTAATAGAAGTGAATGAATACCGGAGTAAAAGGAGGCAAAGAAATTTGAATAAATAATTGGTATATAGTTTTTTTCTAACTTTATGGAATAAAAGGGCAGAGAAAAGAATTCTTGTTTATTTTGGGAGGATCTATAGTATTTTTCTTAATATGTTTTATTTTAATAACAGATGGTCATCCTGTAATGGCAGCTGGAAGCCCATGTGGCCATATTGGACTCTGGGATCTAGAGGACAAAAGATTAATCAATCAAATGAGAAATGCACACTCTACAGCAATTGCCGGACTGACATTTCTCCATAGAGAGCCACTTCTTGTCACAAATGGCGGTGACAATGCTCTCAGGGTATTATGATGATTGTTATCATCTTCCTGGCTCATCTAACTTACCCTTTGGGTTATTACAAGTTTGCTTTAATGTATCAGCTTTCAACCTAGAAGAAGAAAGGAATATGAAAGGAGTTATTGGTGTAGGTGAAAGAAAAAGCAGAGTAGGTGACATGATTGCAGTGAAGCAGGAAAGAATTACAGTTTATTTCTCCCACAATACCCACTCTCCGCCTGTAATTCCAGGATCAGTGGCTTAGCAAGCACTACACAATGCCAGTTGATGTATATAGGGGGTGATTTGACTGCTTGCAGATAAGAACTTTACATTTTTATTTCTTGGCAGATATGGATATTTGATGGTCCTACAGGTGAAGGCCGACTTTTGAGATTCAGAATGGGTCATAGTGCTCCTCTTACCAGTATCAGATACTATGGACAGAATGGACAACAGATTCTAAGCGCAAGTGAGCTTCTGCTTCATACTATTAGTCTATTTCAGCAAGTGTTGAGATGTGGGTACCCAGTATTAGGTTTGATATTTACACATGTTTAGATTTGCATATCTCTTTGAGTGACTTAAAGTTGTTATCTGTACTTAATGTGTCCTTCTGTTTACTAATCTTCAGAGACAGAATGGTCAGATTCTAAAAATTCTTTTAGTCTGCTGAAAATCGTTAGTATCTCGTTTTCATTTTTCCTTTATTCTCACTAAATGCCATTCTATAAAAAGTTGAGTATTTTAGGCCAGGCATGGTGGCTCACGCCTGTAATCTCAGCACTTTGGGAGGCCGAGGTGGGCGGATCACCTGAGGTCAGGAGTTCAAGACCAGCCTGACAAACATTGAGAAACCCTGTCTCTACTAAAAATACAAAATATTAGCCAGGCATGGTGGTGTATGCCTGTAATCCCAGATACCAGGGAGCCTGAGGCAGGAGAATTGCCTGAACCCAGGAGGCAGAGGTTGCAGTGAGCTGACATTGTGCCATTATACTCCAGCCTGGCGACAAGAGCAAAACTCTGTCTCAAGAAAATAAAAGATGAGTGTTTTAATGTAGTTGCAATCTGGCTTTCCCTTTAAAGTGTCTTAAATTGTATCTTCAAGTTTTTCAAATAGAATTTTATAAAATTTGTGATTCACATAGTCCATTGTTTTGATGAACCTTGATTAGAAATTTTCTGTGTATGTCAACAGGTCAAGATGGAACTCTTCAGTCATTTTCCACGGTACATGAAAAATTCAATAAGAGTTTGGGACATGGTAGGTCCTTTGCAAGACAGAAAATAAGCTGGTCACAAAAGAAACATTTCAACATTCTATGAGACAGCTGGAGAAAGTTTCATCAATACATTTTCTCTTTTCTTGGATATAATAGATAAACATAAACTGTAAGAAGTGGTTGAAGTTCTGCTATGAGGTTACTGGAAAAAGTTAGACACCTTGGGTGGTAAAAACATACTGCTGCCACCCAAAAGATGTTGAGGGCCTCTCTTGAGCTATCTGTAGAGTGCACAGTTTTTAAAATGGAAAGTAGCTTAGAGAAAGCATCAAAGTAAGCAGTGTCCAATTCTTTTGCTTTAAAGCAATCATTTTATTCTCCTTTCCTTTCCATGGTTTCCAGCCTTTGAAAGATTTTGTTTATTAAGCAAGAAAATCTTTTTCAGTTTTATTACCAATTTTTAAGTGACTATTTTACTATTCATGTATGTATATACTTTCAGATATAATTTAAGATTTTTTTAATCAATATCTAAAGTAATTTCTCAGAATTAAAAAATAACAGTGGTAATAACATCTTTGTTTTGTTTCTGACTTAAATGGGAATATCTTGAACTTTATAGTTATATGACAATGATAACTTTTCTTTTATATACTTTTATTTATTAAGAAGGATTCATAGCTTTCTATATCCCCCTTGCCTCCAACCCCAGGATTAATAAATAAAAAGAGAGTCAAACGTAAAGGACTTCAGAATACCATGTCAGTGAGACTTCCACCCATCACAAAGTTTGCAGCAGGTAAGTAACTTCATACTGTGTTTTGAGACATTCTCCTTTGTCATTGTTTCCTACTCTGTGCTATTTTATTTTTTCGGTTTTAATAAATGCTTTTACAGATATTAATAAGCATTCAGAAAGTAACTCCAGGTACATGCTGATCTTGTGTGAAGACTAAAATGAGTTCTTTTAAATATGAACTTATTATCTATTAACCTCAGGCTTTGTTCTTCATAATAGCTATTACCAATATTTGATTTTATAGCCTGTCTTTTTATTTTGTCATGTGCCTAGTATAATGAAAGTCACTAATGTAAAAAGAACTGGAACAGCAAAGTATGAGAACATAGAGCTCTGACTAATTAAGATCTAAGAATACTGAGGATTTAGTATGCTATGTCATTTGACCAGTGCTTCTTTCAAAGAAGTGATTTTAAGAAAAATGTAGATAATGGGTTTGTTGCCTGAAATCTATTATGGGAAATTACTGTGTAGGCACTATTTCTATTCAAAGGTTATTATTAAGACCACCTTTCTGACTTTTCTTAGAGCTTGAGTGATGTTTCTAAAAACACATCTAAATCACATTACTCACCTGCTTAAAATTTTTTAGTGGCTTCTTACACCTTTAGAGTGGAATCTCATCTCCTTAACATGACTTTCAAGACCTTTGGTAGTGTGGTCCTGATTGCCTTCCCCAACTCTCATTCCTCCCAAAAGATACTACACTTACTTGCTGTCCTCAGTTTTGTTTATTTTTTTTTTTTCTTGTGCATGTTATCCCCCCACCCCAGGTAATTTCTACTTGTTCTGCCACTCCATCCAGAGAGACATTTATTTTCCCCAAATCTCCTGAGTGATTTTATAAGACACTATCATATTTTACTGTGATTTCTTCTCATTCAAATTTCTTGTTAGTTTGTTGTGTACTAAAAACACATAAATACACACATTTTAATTTGTCAATTAAAAATGATAACCTCTTGTTAGATTGGAAACATTAGTATCAGGTATTACCTGTTTGGTTTACCATTGTTTCCCTAGTGTCTGATGATAACCTGAAATATTAGATGCTTAATAAGTAATAGATGAATAACAGAATGAAAAGTAATTTGATTTATGATTTTTATTACGTTTTAGAGGAAGCTCGTGAGAGTGACTGGGATGGTATCATTGCTTGCCATCAAGGTAAGCTATCTTGCTCAACCTGGAATTACCAAAAATCTACAATAGGTGCTTACTTTCTCAAGCCAAAAGAATTGAAGAAAGATGACATAACTGCAACAGTAAGTGAGCTTGTTTATAAGGATATTTTCGCTTTAAAACTTTCTTATGGAAATCTTGTTGTACTCAAGGTTTCTCCTTATAATATTGGTTGAAAAAAAAAACATAGTTTAACAGTTTGAAGTTATTCCTTAATAGTTTTAAGCTTTCCAAGTTACAGTCATTTATTTGAAATTGATGTGAGGTATTATCTCATTGTGGTTCCGATTTCTATTTCCCCACTGACATGAAGAATGAACGTCTTTTCATGTGGTTATAAACCATTTGTATGTCTTTTTGGGAGAAATATTTACAAATAATTAACTTGTAATATCTCTTTATATATTCTCAATACAAGTCCCTTATCAGATATTTGAATTACAAATGTTTTCTTCCATTCTGTAGGCTATCATTTCATTTTCTTTTTGGTATCATTTTTAACTAAAAGTTTTGAATTTTGATGAAGTTCAGTTTATTATATTGCTTATGCTTCTCAAAAAAGCATTGTGTAGCCGAAGAAAACTAAGATTTGCTCCTAAGACTGATAAGAGCTTCCTAGTTTTAGCTCTTACATTTGGGTTTATTCTCTCTGAATTGATTTTTGTATATGGTATGATACAGGGATCCAAATTCATTTTTTTGCATGTGGTTATCCACTTGTCTCAGCACCATTTGTTCACAAGACCATTCTTTCTCCATTGAATGATCTTGTTACCTCTGCTGAAATATAGAAAAAAATATATTGATACACTATTGATATTTTAAGTAGTAAAATGGGTTTATAATAGAACTTGCTTATAAACCAAATGTTCTCCCTGTAGTGTCTTATATATTCCCTTCCTAAAATGTCATAATTAAAATATTTTGGGCTTTTGCTTGGGCATTCTAACTAATGGTATGTTTATGGTTTGATGACAGCTGTGGAAGCAGATAAAAAAGGCAAGACAAAAAGAAATTAGGCAATGGAATGTTTTGACCTTAGCCTTGTTAATAAAATAAAAATTGAAGGTTAGTCCCTTATATAGTTCTCCTGACTTTGTACATTTAAATTGAGTTAACCTTAGTTATGTTTTGTTTTCTTAGATAATAATTCTTGATACTTTTAAAAGAATGGAGATAGAATCTCACATATATTCTTATACACCCAAATATAATTACTTTATGTTTAAAAAAACTAATGAAGCAATTTATTTATCGTGCTTTTTTTTTAAATAAAAAGGAAAAAGTAGATTAAAAAAATACTCTGGCAAGCATAAAGTGCAATAAAATGTTATTTTCTTTGTCATTTGTGGATTGTTTTTTTTTTCTTAAAGGCAGTGGATATAACTTCTTGTGGAAACTTTGCTGTAATTGGCCTCTCATCAGGAACTGTAGATGTATATAACATGCAGTCTGGTATACATCGAGGAAGTTTTGGCAAGGATCAAGGTATAGAAATTCTTCCTTTTTTTAAATTAATACAGATAAATACAAGATTAGTAATGATAGCTTGCATTTATAATATTTAAGTGCTGGGCATTTTGCTAAAGTTTAAGATGGGTTATCATCAACCCTATATGGCAGATACTGCAGTTGTATCATAAGGACCATGTTGAAAGAGAAAAGTCATGGGTACCTAAGAGTTAATGTGGATATTATGCAGATTAAAATTTTTTTCTCTTCTGCCTTAAGCAGAAAATTTTAACAAAATTGTCAAACCTTTGTGGTATCAACCTGATTTCTGTTTTTTTACTCAAACAGTGTTAATAATTAAGATTCCTTACCCCCCTAAAATTCAGATTAATTTCAAAATTTTTCAAGGATGTTTAAGTGGCAGCTTATGTATTTGAATGAAGGAATCACTTTGTGTATTGTTCAGAGAGACACTGCCAATTCTGATTTCTTTTTTCTTTTGATGTACCTTACAGCTCACAAGGGATCTATTAGAGGTGTTTCAGTGGATGGATTAAACCAGTTGACAGTTACAACTGGTAGTGAAGGATTACTCAAATTCTGGAACTTTAAAAGCAAAAGTTTAATCCATTCTGTGGGCCTCAGTTCATCTCCAAATATCATGTTGCTACATAGGGACAGGTAAACTTTCTATGATCATGGATTTTCTCTTTGATTCTTTTGGTAAAAGTTTTAAAGTCACAATTTACCAAGTGAGAAAAATCAGAGTATTTAGTAAAGAACAGCATTTGGCTTAATTTCCACCAAAGTGTATTTGATTTAACAAAATTCGAGTGAATATAAGACTTTAGTTCAGGGGTGTTTTATTTACTAAAACTGGTGCATTTATCTTGCTAGTGGCATTCTGGGACTCGCCTTGGATGACTTCTCCATTAGTGTTCTGGACATAGAAACTAGGAAGATTGTCAGAGAGTTTTCTGGACACCAAGGCCAAATAAATGACATGGTAAAACAAACTCTAGCTGATAAAACTCGACTTATTTCTACTTCTGTTTGGGTGTGTTATCCTATAATAGCCTTAAAATCATTATATGAGGTGGTTATCAATTTTAATTTGCAGGCCATTTTTCAAAGATTTTTAAAGAAAGTTTTAAATTAAAAGTTTAGTACTTTTCAGGGAGTTGATGCCATCAAATTAAAGTGTAAGTTTTAGAGCTCATCTTTTTTTCATTAAACAAAGCCAGAGTGTACTATAGATATGAATGATCCATTGGTTTATGTCATTTTTAACTTAATATTAAAATAAGCTGGGAGAATTTATTTCTGTTTTACTATGTATGGAATGAATTAATAGTAAAAGACCATTTGCTTAGAACATTTGGTATGTGGTTTTTTTTAGTTTAGTGCTATTTCTGGAGTTATGTATGTTAATTCTGAAAAGTTTTAATTAATAAAAATGTATTTAAGTTTACTATTATGTTCCTATAGTGGGATATATGATATGGTAAGAAGTAAAGTAGTTTAAAAAGCATATTTTATTCAAAAGAACTTTTAAAATAAATTTGTCATTTGAGGACCAAATTAAGTCTATGTTATTATTTTTCATCAATTGCAGATATCTTGATTTGCTTGAAAATAGAAAAAGTAAAATAAAAATAAAACCCTAATACTTAGTGACAAACCCAACAGCTACATTTACTAGTTTTCATACCAAAAATTAGAATTTACTCCTTTCCTTAAAAATTGAAGGAAAAGAATCCTGGTCAGGACCTTGTGTTCTACAGATCAGAGGCTGGCAGAATTACGTATCAACAGAATTTGTTTTGACAGCATCTGTAGAAATGTGGGTGGGAGTGGGTTGTGCTGAAATGGCAATTTTGAAAACATCTGTAAGTGTCAACTTGCTCTTCCTTTTTCTTTCTTTTTAAACCTTACTTTCAACTTGTATATCTGGAGTTTCCCTATTCAGTAATAAGTTACTCCTTTTAGTTAAATCTGTGAGCATTTATAACATGACTTTACCTCTCAGAGTCATTCTTTCCCATGCTTTGTTATCTGTACGACCCTTCTGTAAGTTGATCTATTTGTAACCTGAGATTTGAGTTCCCATTATATTACTGCAGCCTGATGAACAAATTAACATTTACATGTTCCAGTATCACCCACTAATTTAAACTGCTGGATGAACAATATACTACAACTACTTTTTGGGTTTTTCTTTTTGGGTCATTTTTCACATGTGATCTAATTTGTGCCTGATGACCCTTAGGTACTACAGGCAAAGAGATCTATTATTTATCCATTTTTATAGCTAGAAAAGATAATGGGTGGCATAAGTAGTTTATTTAAATTTGTTTTTTAAAAATCTGATTATTATGGCTTACGTTTATAAATAAAGCATTATTAAAAGAGAAAGGATGTTTAACATAAGCTTCAAGAAAAATAGGCTCTTAATCACACACATAAACATATTGTCTGTAAATAAGTAGAAAATTATGGTTTGAAAATTAATGCAATGCACTTTATTTTTTTTAACTTTTAGTAATTCATTTAAAAGTCTAATCTTTATCCAAATTCCATATCAGTGGTATTTAGGAAGTGGTGTTTTCTTTTATATGAAATAAGACAGCCTGAATGTTACTTAGTCAAATTAATTTTTTTATGAAGCCTGCATTATCTTTTCATTTATTGCATTCTTTAAGGTGTTAACTTTATATACATACATGCATACATATAAATATATTCATATATATTATATATATATGTGTGTATATTATATTTTTTTATTTTAAAGGCTTTTAGTCCTGACGGTCGTTGGTTAATAAGTGCTGCAATGGATTGCTCTGTTAGGACTTGGGACCTTCCTTCTGGGTGGTAAGTTTATATTTCTAAATCCCTAACCTCTATAAGAAGATTTCTAAGTTATTTTCTTCACACGTGACTTTTATAAGTAGTTAATGGATTATATGCTTTTCCAATGTGACTATATTTGGAGATTTTTCTGACATGACTATATTGTGTCCTTGGAGTGTTTTTAATGATAACTAAACAGCAGGTAGTAGTGTCATGAAAGATAATAGAAAAGTGAAATCTCTCTTAGGTTTTCTAATTCTGCAAAATTGAGATACAGAAGCAAGTTGTCTAAACCTTAGGAAAGCTCATTTGGCCTTTTTGATAAAGCTCAGACTTAAGGATGACAAACTTTTATTTTGAGTTTTTTTAATTCATGCTGAATTTAGATAGAAAGTAAAAACCGCGAACTTTTCCTTTTTGTATATTATATCTCTTGTGGTACTCTGACATCATTCTTAAAAAAAAAAACATTTTAGATAGTCTTAGTGCATTTTCTGTTGCTAAGAATATTGAAACTCTGTTATTTCTAAAGAAAAGGAGTTTATTTCTTACAGTTTGGGAGATTGAAAAGCCCCAGATCAAGAGGCCATAGCTGGTGAGAGCCTTCTTGCTGGCGGAGACTCTGAATAGTCCCAAGGTGGTACGGGGTATCACCCTTACTAATGTGATACCCCATACCACCTTGGGACTATCACTCAGCGTGATAATGTAATGGCTCAAGTCTGTCTTCCTTTTCTTATAAAGCTACCAGTTTCCCTTTCATGATAATCCATTAATCTATGAATGGGTTAATCCATTGATGAGGACAGAGTCCTCATGATCCAGTCACCTCTTAAAGGCCCTCCCCCTCAATACTGTCATGTTGTGGATCAAGTTTAAACACGAGTTTTAGAGGGACGTTCAAACTGTATCTTAAAAGTAGTAAAAATGTGTGTCTTTAGATTTGGGTAAAACCTAACATGTTCAGAAATCTATTTCGTGGGTTGAAATTTGCTCCTAATCCAGCACTTTAAAGAGAAAACAACCAAATCTGTAAATGGTATAAACAGAGGAGACATACAGAATGTGTGTGGGGTTTGTTGTTAAAAATTATGTAGGTGTAGATACCATTTAAAATCATATCATTTAACATAGGATTGCTTAGATGAGTATGAAGAAAGGAAGAATTATGGGAATAGCAAAACATCTACTTTAACAGTACCATACCATTAAAAAAAAGATAGATGAGAAAAATGAGAAGGAAGGTAGTACTTTTTAATCTAAAATCTTCCTAAATTAAGCTCTGTTCACTTCCTCTTCCTACTCAGGAATTGGATAAGCTCATACATGAAAGCAGTTTGACCTTTAGGAAGGAAAAACCCTCATGTCCTCAGTTCCCTTCAAGTTTGAAACAAACCTGAGGCATACCTACCTATCTTGAGTATACAGTGGATTTTTAGTAAGCACAGCTAAGGATTGTTGCTAGTGGGTCCAGCTTTAATACCTAGGGATCTTTGTCCACAGGTGTGTCTCTTTCACTTAAAATAGAGTAAAGCAAAATATAATTTATTGACTGTATCCTCCTTTAGTTTTAGAAGGTTCACCTAAAGTTGGTATTTCTTTAATTAAACATTTTGTTAAAGACACTATTAGAAATATTAGTGATCTGCCACTTCTTGGGCTTTTGCTATTTTCTAAAAGTTAATGTTATCTAATTTGAGTTGCTTTAAAGTAAGAAAGTTATATAAATAGTAGAGTTGGCATAGTGCCTTTTTCATTTTTCTTTTTAATAGTTTTAGTTTATATCAGTGGGAGAGAGATTATTCAGTAGTAAAAAATTGGCAGTTTTTTTTTAATGTGGTTAATTCATCTTTGGAATGGAAAAATTAGGATCTGAAAGTAGCATTCAAAGCCACTAACATTTGACTCAGCATTAGCCTTTTGCTGAATTTCTAATATCAGTAAAAAGTTGAAAAGATCAAAATCTGATAAATTTTCAACTCTAGTAGCTTATTTTTAGGTGAGCATAGGCAATTTTAAGTGAATAGTCATGAAGCTGGACGTAGCATAAGAGCAAGAAGTGACCACATCAAGTTGTTAAAAGAAAATGTAAGTCCAGGCGCAGTGGCTCATGCCTATAATCCCAGCACTTTGGGAGGCCGAGGCGGGTGGATCACGAGGTCAAGAGATCGAGACCATCCTGGTCAACAAGGTGAAACCCCATCTCTACTAAAAATACAAATTTAGCTGGGCATGGTGGTGCGCACCTGTAGTCCCAGCTACTCAGGAGGCTCAGGCAGGAGAATTGCTTGAACCCAGGAGGTGGAGGTTGCAGTGAGCCGAGATCACGCCATTGTATTCCAGCCTGGGTAACAAGAGCAAAACTCCATCTCAAAAAAAAAAAAGAAAATATAATAAAATGGACATTGATTGGAAAAAGCATATTTTTGTTTAAAAAAATAGTTTTTGGTTAAAATTTGAAGTGGACCAAATGAGAGAGCTTGAATAACTATCAAACAACTGCTGCTGCTTAATTGCAACTAAGCTGACATTTACGATGTGCTGCTAGGCACTGTGAATGCTTTTATTTTTCATATCCTAGGAGGTTGTAGGTACTATTACTGTTATTAGTCCCATTTCAAAAATGATGAAGTAGAGGCTTTTAGAAAAATTAAGTGATTTGCCCAAGGCAGCTTAGTTTATAAATGGCAGAGTCCAAAATAAGCACAGGAGAAAGAACTGTTGTTGTATTATCACTTTTGCTCAGACTGTGTCTTGTTTTAAGAACGAACTGATTTTCTTGATGTAGAAGGTAATAAAGTTAAGATTAGTGTCTTGTTATACAACCATGGGTAACTTGGGTTTTTTTAAATTCCCTTCTTTTTTAAAAAATATAATTCAACCTATGGAGATTCCTAGTTTTTCTTTCAATTAAATAATTTGAATAATGAAAACACATTACATAGCCTGGAAAGTGAAGCTATCTATGAGTAAACCCTTGAGTGTATTAACATACAGGGATATCCATCCGGAATTGTGCCTATTTTAAACAAATTGCATAGGTATTAGACTTTCCTATGAAGTTTTTTTAAAGTGCTAAAACTTTTTTTATGTTTGTAAAATTCTCAGAGAAACAGAGTTGAAATTTTTTATCTCTGAAATTATCATTCCTCTACCACTACCACCACCTTTTATGTCTGGTTGTTTTTGATCTAATAGAAGTTCAGATTGAATTCTTTTTTTTTTTCCCCAAGACAAAAGTCGTGTTCTGTCGCCCAGGCTGGAGTGCAGTGTTGCGATCTTGGCTCACTGCAACCTCTGTCTCCCAGTTTCAAGGGATTCTCCTGCCTCAGGCTCCCGAGCAGCTGGAACCACAGGTGCACGCCACCATCCTCAGCTAATTTTTCTTGTATGTTTAATGGAGATGGGGTTTCACCATGTTGGCCAAGCTGGTCTCGAACTCCTGACCTCAAATGATCTGCCCACCTCATTCTCCCAAAATGCTGGGATTACAGGCATCAGCCACCACTCCCGGTCCAGATTGAGTTCTTTGAGGGGTGAGAAATATATAAAATTAAGTAGTCTTCATAGAATTCTTCATTTGTTCTGTTTTACCCCACCCCTGCTTCCTGAGGAGCATTACATGAGAGGAATTGGAATAGAACATTGTTTTCAATTTCTCACTTAGGCAAAAACATCCCTTTGTGCTACTCCTTAAAGATTTCTGTGGAAGATGATTTTAGCACTTTGAAAATAGAACATATGGAAACAGTCTCCATTTGGTCAGAATAATCATCAGAAACAACCTACTGAATGTATATGCAGGGCTCTGATCTTGTAAATCTGATCCCTTAGAATAGGAATTGTATTAATATTCTTTCAGAAGAAATTACAAGGTACCTGGGACTGAACTTATTTTTTTAAGATTAGCATGAAACTGTATGCTAGTTTTAGGTCTGGGATGAGCCTGTGCATTTATGCTTTTATGAACTAATGTGACAGTGTAGAATATGCTGTGTATGTGCAAACCACCTTCCTCAATTTGGTGGTTTTATATAATGGAAGTCCCATCTACCCACACACCACAGCTGTGGAAATGAAGTTACACAATGAAGTTGACAAGATAATTATAGTTTAAGTAAAATAAGTTTGCTCAAGCAGTAAGTTTTCTTCTTAACAGATAGTTCCTAAACACGTTAGGAAGTTTCACTTTACCCTTCACATACGTAAACTTTTGATGAGTAATATTTAGACAAAGGAGCTAGCTTAACATTTGAAATTGCTGTGTTGTAGGTTTAATATTCATCTGTATGTGTTAGGATAATATCTTCATCTCTGGATTGTTTGGATTAAATGGCTCAACATAAATAACTTAACAGTCTATGGCACAGAATAAGTGTTTAGCAAGTGCTTCCCCAATTCCTTTGATTCCCAACAAAAGCGATTCTTGGGCGCTTTCAAAGCAGACTTGAACAGAAATCAGACAGGTTATTGCTCCCTTTCCCATAAAGGACAATTAAATAGCAGTCCTTTTCCTAAACACAGTTTGATGGGTGTGTGTTTGTTTCCAGTGCTTTTATTGTTGTCTTTTCTTGCAGTCATTGTTTAAGGTTTACATTTTTATTGGCTCTTTAAGCAAATTGAGAGGCATTTTACCATGGGTAAGCAACTTAATGCCTCCCACTGGACAGTCTTCATTTACATTTGAGCTGCTCACAGTGTGTCCTATGAATCACCGATGTAGGCATACCCTGGGTGTGTGTAAGCTATTGCCCTGTTTTGTGCTTCAGTTTCAGTAGTGGCTTTACTAGAATGTATATTAGCTAACAGTATGAATTGGGTAGAACTGCTTGGGTGAAAATACTGACCCAATTGCTTTCTGCCTTGAATGAATTTAAAATCTTACTGGACCTCAGTTTTCTGGACTGTGTGGTAAGGACGATCTGCCTTGTGGGGTTTGTGAAGATTAGATTAGTTAGCACGCTCAGGTGCTTAGGATACGTCCTCACACAGAGCACTAAAAAAAACTGTTACTCTTGAAGTAATTTGTATTATTAATGTACATCCTGAACTTAAGTCATTTGTGTGTACCTTCCTAAGGATAATATATTGACTTCAGAATAGCTGTCATTGGGCCAGGTGCGGTGGCTCATGCCACCCAGCACTTTGGGAGTCTGAAGGGGATGGTCAAGAGATTGAGACCATCCTGGTCAACATGGTGAAACCCCGTCTCTACTAAAAATACGAAAATTAGCTGGGCTTGGTGGCGTGCGCCTATAGTCCCAGCTACTCGGGAGGCTGAGGCAGGAGAACTGCTTGAACCCAGGAGGCGGAAGTTGCGGTGAGCCAAGATCGCGCCATTGCACTCCAGCCTGGGTAACAAGAGTGAAACTCCGTCTCAAAAAAAAAAAAAGAATAGCTGTCATTAAAAACCAGTATACTCTGCTTAAAGCTACTCTCACTTTTAGGCAGCCTAAGGAGTCTTTCCAGCAGGATTCAGATGAGTATAGGCCTTTCTCTTTGTTTCTTAAATAGACCTCTTTTCACTTTTTGCTCCCACCATCCTGGTTATCTTTGTTGCTTGTTAGATGATTACTACATATTCTTACCATTCTCTCTGTTCAAATATATTCTGCATTCTGATGGCAAATTTTCTATGAAAGTGGAAGATTATGCCACTATCTCCTCTTAAGTGGTTAATGACTTTCCATCAATTATAAGATTAAAACAAACTCAGCTGTTTCGTATATAAAACATTGTATGCAGCCTTATGCTTATGCTTATGCTTAATGGTCCTACAAAACTGCACTCCTCACTATACACAGTTGTAGTTTCCCTTGCCTTATCCACCACATTTCTCTTAGCCAGGAAATGCTTTCTCTACTAGACATCAATATCCATTGAAATCCTGTCCATTTGTAACGCTCCCCTCAAACACAAGTGTTCTCTGTGAAGCCCATTCTGAGTCCTCTACCTGGTGGTGGTTACTCTCCCTTTCACCCCAACTTGTAAACCGCTTCAAGATTTTAAACCTATGGGACAGGTTTCCATAAATTGCTTTATGGCTCTAGAGACTGAATTTTCATGTGTTTCACGTATAGCATGACTACTTATTTGAAAAACAGGTGCAGTTACTCAAAAGGTTTTTTTTAATTACCATTGTTATTTACATCCATTTTGTTATATTACTTTCTCCTTTAGCCTAAGCTTTTCATTACTTTCACTGAAGTAGCAAAAAATACAGAATACTAATAATTAGATTTATTTTAAATGTTATGTCTTTAGAACTGTCCCCAAGTCAATCTACCAAAATGTAGTATTCCAGAAAAGCAGATTTCCTCCTCTTTTCTCCCTTTTGTTGAAACTGCTTCTCCAGTTAGTTGGTCTAGTTAATGCTGTGTCTTTCTCATTAAGTGAGATTATTTTCATATAGTAACTTAGTTAACAAAGCTGTTTATTAGTGGAGACTTTCTGATTGATACTGGTGATTAAAAAAACACCAACACACATTTTCTGCATCTCTTATCCCTTGTCCTTTTAGCAAAAATATTTTTGTGAATTATATCCTTTTTGGTAGAGTTCAAATAATTTTAATGTGTCAATTATTTCTGTAGCCTGATAGACTGCTTTTTGTTGGACTCGGCTCCTCTGAATGTTTCTATGTCTCCTACTGGAGACTTTCTGGCAACTTCCCATGTGGACCACCTTGGAATTTATCTGTGGTAAGTTCTTTCATACAGTGCTGTTTTGGGATAATGAAGATTGTATTGTCAGAGAGTTATAGTTGCTAAAGTGGTCATTAAATGGAAATGTCACAAGTTAACATAAATACTTAATTCACTATAAGTCTGTGATTGATTCAACATCTGCTTGATAATGTAGACTGCTTTGCTTAAGTATATATTCTAAACCAAATGATTGATTTTTATCTGTTATCATATTTGGCTTTTATTTGCAGAAAAAATAAGGAAGTTTTAAAAATTTAGCAAAAAGGAGTCCTCAGCGAGGCCATGGTTTTCCTGCCAGTGTCCCACTACTACTTTATGACCTTGTCCAGTCACTTCTGAATTTCAGCCTACTTTGTCTATAAAAAAAGGCACAAGTATAAGTAGAATACTTTCTGAGATTTATTCTAGTTGCATGACTTTCCATAACCATGTAAAGATCCTTATATGATCTTCAAATTCTCTTATGATGAACTCGTAAGGGATTATGATTGCTTGTAATAAATAGAACATCACCTGTGTTTAGAAAAAATTTTGTCTCCTATACATCTTCTTTTAACTGTTATTGTTGGGTAAAAGAAGAAATCGATTGTAAAAAAAGATTTAATTATAAAATGCTATAATTATATTTGAAGATACAAAGCAATTTTAATATATAATAGAAATAGACCCTGTTCACCTTAATTTGTAAAATGGAGTATCTCCTAGAGTCCATGAGTCTACAACAATTTAGAAAATAATAGTAGCTATGAGACCTCACAGCAGGAGTATGGCCTTTCTCTATAAAGTACTGCTATTAATTACTCAAAACCTGAGATTCTCAATTTTTATTTTCTATTCCAGCTTCATAAAGTGTGGGGAAAAAAAAAACCTGTCCCCTACTTTGGGACAGGTATCTACATCTTCATTAGTCATCCATGGCCAGGATGCAGACTGAGTAGCAGAAATATGGCTACTTAGAGGGATATTCTAGAGAAGGGGAATCTATGATCTTTCAGCAACTGCAAGAATATGCTCAACACAGTCACGCTCTGACTTACTCTCTGAGTTCATTTTTCCTTCTGTTACAGTATCCTTAAATAAAGGTTGATATATGTCAAAACAATATATGAAAGTTATTTTGCCTTATAAAAGTATTATCTGCTACTGGTCTGTCTTTAATACTATGTCAGGAAAGAGACTCAATAATTTACATAGCTTTATTATTTATAATGGCATCTGTGACATAAGGCATTTTTAGATTGATACTGTCTATCTTTGAGGTCTTTAACTAATAGAAGTCTTTAGTCAAATTCAAGACTGTAGAGTGTTTCCCTGAAGGAACTTTTTATAATTTTTTAGATATTGCTTATGTTTTGTTTTCTCAGGTCCAATATTTCTCTGTATTCAGTTGTTTCATTACGGCCACTTCCTACAGATTATGTCCCTTCAGTAGTAATGCTTCCTGGTACTTGCCAAACCCAAGGTAATCACACAATTGCGAAGTAATTTTTGAGGTGTAATATTGTAAACCTAATATAGGAGATACTGCTACCAAAGGCAAACTTTAGTGCATTCAACCAAAGTGTTTTTTAACTGATATAAAAAAGACTTTGAATGACTTTGTGAATTTATGCAGAAATATAATTGATGTGGCATTGATAATATATCAAATAGCATACCAGTGAAGAAGGTGTTTGGGGGCTAGTGATGGGAGTTGTAGTTAATATGAGAAAATAAGGAAAAGACAGGGATAAGGAAATGAAATAAATGAACAGTTTACAAGGCTGCATTGAGTGAACATGTTGTGAAACACAGATGAATTTGAAATGAATTAAGTTGCTTTGATATGGTAAAAATCTCATTTTGGGTTAATTTGTTTTACCTGAACATTTTTTAAAGATGTAGAAGTATCAGAAGAAACAGTAGAACCAAGTGATGAAATGATAGAGTATGATTCACCAGAACAGTTGGATGAGCAATTGGTGACTCTTTCACTTCTTCCTGAATCACGATGGAAAAACCTTCTTAATCTTGATGTTATTAAGGTAATACTATAGTACACTTAATTAATGCACTTAATAGACCCTAAGCATGCATCCAGAAGCATTTTTATGTGTTTTGTTTTTTTTTTTTTTTTTGAGACAAGAGTTTCGCTCTTGTTACCCAGGCCGGAGTGCAATGGCGCGATCTCAGCTCACCGCAACCTCCGCCTCCTGGGTTCAGGCAATTCTCCTGCCTCAGCCTCCTGAGTACCTGGGATTACAGGCACATACCACCATGCCCAGCTAATTTTTTGTATTTTTAGTAGAGACGGGGTTTCAACATGTTGACCAGGATGGTCTCGATGTCTTGACCTCGTGATCCACCCGCCTCGGCCTCCCAAAGTGCTGGGATTACAGGCTTGAGCCACTGCGCCCAGCCCACATTTTTATGTTTTTAAGCAGAGAGAACTTCCCCTACTTTGAGGGCATTAGGAGGAACCGTTAATATATAAGATAACAGTGACGATTCCATTTAATCAAGTATTATTTAATATGGTGTGATTTTCACAAGATATTCATATTTATGTCAACTTTGAGAAACTCAGCAGACATTTGGATGTGGCAAAAGTTCAGCCTGTACAGTTATTGGAAACTAATCCTTTAAAATCCAGCCTAAGAAATCACTTTTATATAAGTTTCTAAAACAAGCAGGAACAAGAAATAGCTATTATAATGTATTTCTACTGGTAGGCATTTGAGGACCAGAGAAATTTCACTAGGTTTTCATTTTATTAAGTTAACCCCTTTATTTCACACCATGCCCTATCTTACACCATACTCTGTCAGCTACTAAAAGATTTTTAGAACTTGCTGTAACCAGATACATAAGTTAACATGAACTAGGTACTAAATAATATACCTGAAGAGTATGGTGGTGAAGAAAAATCCTGGCCCCTATGTCCTTGAGGAATTTATCATTATGCATGAAAAATGGACAACTATAGATCAGTATTTTTTTAGAGTATGTTTTATGACCCTCACTAGTGAGTAACAAAAACTACCAAAAGGAAATAGAGTGAAAAATTTCAGGTTACCTTTCGATCCTGAATGCAAGTATTGTTTGGTTAAACTTGAGTTGGTTAGACATACACGTACACTAGATCCACTAGGTGACTTGAGTCACAGTATGGGCTCTGGTAGAAAGTTTAAGGAACACTAACATAAGTAACTAACAAGATGTAACTGTCCTTGTAACTAATAACACAAGAAAAGAAATGCATGTCTTAAATAAGGAAAGAGAAGTTTTCACATTACATTTCCTCATAGAAGTTAAAATTGCTTTTTACTGCTAACTTCTTGAAGATTAGTCATCTGTATAAAGGTGTGCTGTTTAGAAGCATGGCGTCGAATCTCTTCATCATGGTGTCCACACTGTCAGTTTTGAAGGGAGTACTTTATGAAATAGTTCAAATGCAAGGCATTAAACTGTACAAGTAGAATACTGTGAGGGGAGCAATTAGAATAATGCTCAATTAATTGAGCTGAGTTTTTGGGCTACTGTGGTCCTCACTGAGATGCAGTTCGCACTACATAAAATCTTGTATCAAAACATGAGTGGATTATCTTTTATGAAAGGAATATGCTAAAACCTCTAATATTTTTATTTTCTATTAAATAAGAATGTACCAAGATAATGGTTTATATTTGTCCTGTGGGTAACTTCAATTTTTGCTTTTCTTCGTGAGATTAGATAATTTTCAGGGCACTATGAAGTTCCTCCAAAGCCTTATGGTTTTAACAAATCAGTGACTGTCTCGTTTCTAACTCAAGAATGGTGAGCTAGAATGGTAACTGTGACTCCTTACAGTCTCCATCATCCTAAAGGGCTCTACACTACAGTTGGTAGTGCTTTGTCCTGTGTTCACATAATCATTTTCTTCTATGCCATGGCTGCAGAGCTCCTAAAGAATAGAAGAATAATGTGAGGTGAAATTGTGAGACTTCTTTTTCAGGCACTTTACCATAGAAAGGCTCTTTTATCAAATATTCCTGAGAGGCAGGGTGCGGTGGTACATGCCTGTGATCCCACCACTTTGGGAGGCTGAAGCAGGTGGATCATTTGAGGTCAGGAGTTTGAGACCAGCCTGGCCAACATGGTGAAACCTTGTCTCTACCAAAAATATAAAACCTTGTCTCTACCAAAAATATAAAAAACATTGCTAGGCATGTTGGTACACACCTGTAATTCCAGCTGCTCAGGAGGCTGAGGCAGGAGAATTGCTTGAACCCTGGAGGCGGAGATTGCAGTGAGCTCACTGCACTCCAGCCTGGGCAATGGAGTGGAACTCCGTCTCTAAAGGAAAATGTTCCTGAGATACTGGTACGTAGCAGTGTACTCACCAAAACAAAATTCTTTCAGTGGAAGTTGCAATGGAGTTTTTCCTCATATAATTTTACTAGCATTTGAAATATTTACAAACCAGCAATCATGTTTTCTTGCATTTTAAAAGCACAGAGTACTAAGGAAAAATTAAAATTCCAATGAATAGAAGAATTAGAGCTATACTTTGCAAGAAGATTATCAAATTATGTATAATGTCAGTCTGCTTGTGGCTCCAAAGTTCTTTTGGAGAAAAGTAATTTGAGAAACTCTTTTCTATTAAGAATTTATGTAAATTTTGCTTTCCATCCTGTTTTATGAAAGAGTCTGTACTCAATACAAAAAGAAGTTTTTTTAAGTATTCACGTAAATCTTCATATTTTAGGAAGATTAGCTATGTTCGTCTTAGAGTTTTTCCTGGGCCCTTGGTAGAATTTCTCCTGTGTCACTTTTTTTCAGTCTGTCAGCAAGGGTGCAAGAGATCTGCACTGGAAATTCCAGGTTAAGGTTAGCTCTGGGTATTCGTCAGAAGACATTGTATTTTAACTTTCTATGGGTTTCATTCCTCTTTTACTTTTTGCTATTTGTTTTAAATTTATTATAAATTAAATATTAGAAATTGTTGGCAGGATAATTGCTATTTTTCTTTCTCATTTTCTCTTAATTAGAAAAAGAATAAACCAAGGGAACCACCCAAAGTACCCAGATCAGCACCATTTTTCATTCCAACAATTCCTGGCCTTGTACCCAGATATGCTGCACCTGAACAAAATAATGATCCTCAGCAGGTAAAAAACAAATTAGAACATTCTAAGTATATGAGTGTATGTGTTTTGTGCACTTTTTTACCAAGACCTAGTTTTACAGATACAGGGTTAATGATAGCTTTTAATTACAAACTGTACATTTTTGGATGTTACTTGTATTATTTGAATAATGTGTATTTATTTGTTTTTGTTTAAGTCTAAAGTGGTAAATCTTGGAGTTTTGGCTCAAAAATCAGATTTCTGCTTGAAACTTGAAGAAGGACTGGTAAATAATAAATGTAAGTTGAATTATAAAATATTTTAACAAATATCTTCAGCTTACTTTACTTTATATGAGGAGAAATTGAAAGAAGTATTATCAGAGTTCTCAGTAGTTAAGAGAAGATAGTGAAAATTAAAATGATTGAAATTTTGGTTTTAATTTCAAGTAATTTTAGCTTTTATATTAAATAAGTTCACTAAACTTAAATGGTATTAATATTAAAAAAAATCTGTTGAAGATTTTTCGTATATCTAATATATTTTTTGCCATTTGGAGATGGACACATTTATTGACTACATTTATAAGAAGAAGATCCTTCTTGATGTGAATTAAGTGTAAAAGTTTGGTATGTCATTTTTGTATCAAAATATGCAAGCCTTTTGTTTTTATTTATAATTTGTAATACAGCAGACTGCTTAGCTGATTTCATATATTTGCAAATTATTCTATTAAAAGGAAAATGTTTTAATCTACCTCTTTTGTTAATATATTTAAATTTTGAAGGCTACAATCTGTAGCTAATAGTGATTAGCCATAAGAACTGTAATCACTTAAAAAATCATGGTCACTCTTCTGATAATTTTAACTTATCCTCTTGTTTTGATTCAAATGCTTTTGTTTTCATACCAAGATCACTTGAGTCCACATTAGCAAAAGTCAAAGAATGATACTAATGAGCCTTTGTAAATGACTTCTTAATGTTTATGGGGAGACAAAGAAATAAAAACACTGTGTTTAATATATACTGAAGGATCTAAAATTGATCAGACTTTTGTCACTGGTGATGTTCTTTTTCAGAAAGCTAAAGCATAGTCATTGCAATTCTCATATTAAGTGACTCATAAAAATAGCTGTAAGTGTATTGAGTATGTTTTCCTAGGGTGCATATGAAACGACACTTCTAGGGAGAAGAAGTAGGTTTGGGCTGGTTAAGAATAAGGGTGGGGTCTTTCTCCGATTTTATATATTTCTGTGTTGTTAGTATTAAATTTCCTAATGATTATGTACTTTTATAACTTTATAACAATAAAACAGAAAAATAAATTATTATACCTCATCAGATTCCCACTGTTAACCACTATTAATACTTTTGCTTGTATCTTTATATCCTTCTTATATTAGGATACACTGAGAGAGATATGAGCATTTTTAAATTTTAAATTGTCTGTTGTGAGGCATTAGATTCTCTTTAATAGGAAAAAAGGTTAAATTACACAAAAAAGTATTTTAAATACTTTCTTTTTTATTGCTGTCATCATTTGTACTGATTTTCAATTATTTTGAATTTCATTCTACTACATAATATGAAAAAAATTAATTAACAGGAAGAATTTCCCATGCCATTTAAGTATATCCTCTTTGGGGTATGGAAGGAAAACTGTAGTTTTCTATGTTAAATGATTACAATAAAATCATAACTGGACTCTTTTTAAAATTTAATGCAGATGACATGGCTCTCAACCTTTTGAAAGAATTAGGCCCATCAGGAATTGAAACAGAGCTGCGAAGCTTGTCTCCTGATTGTGGTGGGTCTATAGAAGTCATGCAGAGCTTCTTGAAAATGATTGGGATGATGCTGGATAGAAAGCGTGATTTCGAGTTAGCCCAGGCATACCTTGCATTGTTTCTAAAGGTAAGTCTAATGTCAGCTGGTACCGCCCAGCTTGTTCCTCTGTGGCAGTGCTAATAGAACTTTCTGCAAAGATGGGTATGTTCTATATCCACCCTTTCCAGTATTGTAGCCACTTGCCACATGTAGCTACTGAATATTTGAAATGTAGACAATGTGATCAAGAAACTGAATCTTTAATTTTATGCAGTTTTAATGAATTTAAATTTAAATACCCACATGTGGCTATTGACTACCACATTGGGCAGCTGAACGGTACAGCTTGGTAGTCTTGTTTTCCTTTTTTACTCAACTGCACAACAATTTTGACTTTACCCCCTGACTTGATGCTGTCTGCTTGAACCAATGTGCTGAGCAATTAACTTTTCTTTTTTCAGTGGTTAGTTACATTTTGGAAGTTTTTTTGTGATTGCGAATAGAAAAATCGGGTTTTGTTTGTTTGTTTTACTACTGAAATCAAAATATTTACTTCTATCCTTGGTAAAGGAGTTTTGATCATTTGACAATAAGAGAGTTATTTTAAGATTAATATAGTGGAGAACTCATATTTTGAGGGTCTGCTTTAGTGGTATAATGTGTTGAAGGAGGTAGATGATGCCAATTTTCGATGATAATAGATTTGATTTTTATCCCATTCATACCTAAAATAAATTCAGTTGACCTAATTATTTAAAAGTTAGATATTTAGGAAGTGACATGTAGGATTAAAATACAGAAATGCCACAAATTGTCTCTAAATCTTTTTCCAAAGTTGCTAAGTGTTAGTTCCCAAATATGAATTTACTGAAATTTTAAAAGATAAAGGACCCTGTCTGCCCTTTATTACAAAGGGGTATATTGAGAGGAAAAACATACAGCAATGTGGAAATGTGAATTTAGTGTTAGAACTAGGACCTTGTTTCTGGATCTGTATCAGAACTGTCTTTAGATGGAGAAGAGTGATGACCACTTTAATTCTACCCAGAGAAGCGATAGTACCATAAAGGAGCTTATAATAAAAGAAATGTTTGATAGAGGAAGGGAAAGTGGGAGATAGGAATAAACCAACACTTAAGAAAAAAGTATTCAGATAATGTCTTATGTGGTTCCTTTTGTAGAAAAATTGAATCCAGATTAGTTAAAATTTTAATTGTCTTAAATGTTAAACCGTCATATTTTTTTTTATTGCAGTTGCACCTTAAAATGCTTCCTTCAGAGCCAATACTCCTAGAAGAAATAACAAATTTGTCATCCCAGGTAGAAGAAAACTGGATCCATTTGCAATCACTCTTCAATCAAAGCATGTGTATTTTAAATTATCTCAAAAGTGCTTTGTTATGAAAATAAATTTGTGACCAAACAAATCAAAGACTTAGATATTAAATAGGTTCAATTGAACTCATTTCTTATTTTCCAAGTGTCAATGTGAAAAGAAAATAAGGGCTAGCACTCATGACTGGTCAGTAAATCTCCACTTTAAATGCTGAATATTTATTGAAGTAAAATCACACATGCCGTCTAGGCATGGATAATGCCTGTAATTCCAGCACTTGGGGAGGCCAAAGTGGGAGGATTGCTTGAGACCAGCCTGGACAACATAGCAAGCAAGATCCCATCTCTACAAAAAAGTTTAAAAAAATAAATTATACCTACCTTTTGTTTTGAAGACTTAAAGAATCTGCTCAAATGATTTATTTTCTGAGTCTCTTCACATTAACTTTTATATGATTTTTTTAAAAATTATTAACTGCTTACGTTTTTTGAGTATCTATCTCATATAAGAGATGCTGCATGTTCACTGTGGAGTACTGCTGAATTAAATTGAAAATGTCAGCTCTAGTGCTTTCTCCATTGTAACATACTGAAAGGAAGTAGTTCATGGATCAGAAATGTGGGAGGCCCTTCCTTGCCCAAGGCAAATTGCTATAGACATTTAAACTGATGACAAGGATAGGTAAGGGAAATTCCAAATTCGATTGGAAGTTGGGCTTCAGAGGTTTTCCTTCCTCACTGATGACCTTTTTATTTGGAAACTGCTGAATACACTTTTCTTTCATAACCATTCTGAAACCAGGTAGCCCTGGAGTTTTCTTTTTTTTCTCATCATCATTTAGGTTTTTTTTATGGCTCAAGACTTTTGCAATACATGAATTAAAAATTAACAGTTCTTTAAAGCACAGTGATCTTAGTTTATACATTCAAAAGTTGGGTCTTTCATGAAATGCAGTGGATTGAATACAAACACCAATAGCATCTTGTTCAGATAAGAGAGTTTTAGGGAATAATCTCAAGAAGAAGCAAAAGGTATTTACCGGTGATACCTTTAATGTTCATGTTTTTATTTAATGACATAAGGTAAAAATTAGTAAACTACTAAGGAAATAAACCGATCTGGTTATTTTACTGAATTTCAGGGATTTTTTAGAAATGTGTATTGACTTATTAAAGCCACTGATGGAAATGCTGATAATGACTTAAGTTCTTACTTAAAAAACTATTATTTTCCTCTTTGCTAAATACTATATTCTAAATTGGAATATGGCAAAATTCTAATATATAACTGTACCTAGTAAAGATTGTAAATCACTAAAACAAAATGATAAGCGCTATGAACTGAAATTGTATTGCTTATACAAATCATGAACCAAATTTTCTTCTCTTTTTAAAGTGAGCATATAGACTTTAGTGTATTGCTATCAGAGATATATTTAGGTAGTATTACATCATCATTTTGGCAGGTAATCTTTTAGACTTTTCATGTACTGTTTCCATCAAGGGCAGGAAAGAAATACAAAATATAATTTTATTTGTCTGTATTTTCCTTAAAAATATATCAATCTGTGCATGCTGGTTTATCTTTAAATTTTTAAATTACAAATGTAATATATGACTACATTTTGGTTGTGTACTTTTTTGAAAACCATCTTCAGTCCCAATACCCTCTGTAGAAGTAAGTTATTAACTCTCCTAGATCTTGTTTGAGACTGTTTTTATGAATGTTTAAGAATGTGTATATATTATCTGCAGCCACAGGAAATGTATACTTGTGATTTTTACGAACATATAGGTATATGATTCTACAGCTTGCTGTTTCTACTCGGAAGTTTTTTATTTTTGTACATTCACATTTACCTAATCTCTTTTGCAGTGTCCAACAGTCTATTTTGCCTGATAGACACTTGAGGAAGTTTTCCTTCTTTTTTCTTCCTTTATAATTACAAACAATGCTGGAAGGAACATCATTCTACATGAGCCCTTTTTATACATACATGGATTTCTCTAGAGTGTATGCTTAGGATTTCAATTTCAGGCTGGAGTATAAGCATTTTCAATTTGAAGAGATACTTCCATATGGCTTCCAGAATGGCTGGATCAAGTTATAGTTCCCCTCAGCAACAAATGAGAATCTGCTTCCCCACATAATTAACGAAACTTGCTATTAGATTTTTGTAATGTTTATTAATCTAATTAAAAAATTATTTTTGTTTTAAATCAAATTTCTCACTAGTGAGGATGGACATATTTTTGTATGTTTATTTTAGAACATATAAACATTTGTGAATTGTCTTTTTCCTCTACTGCTCATTTTTCTATTGAATGATTTGTCCTTTTATCTCACAGATTTGTTAGGAGTTCTCTTGTATTTTCTGTGTTAATCTTTTATGCCTGTTGCCAGTGTTTTCTCCTCTTAGCCATTTGGCTTTAATTTTACATGGTGTCTTTTTAAATAAATGTTTCATATTTGTGTACAATCAAATTGATTAATTTCATGACTTTTACTCCAAGATATAAAGCAAATTATTATTTTTTGAGACAGAGTCTTGCACTGTAGCCCAGGCTGGAGTTCTGTGGCCTCGGCTCACTGCAACCTCTGCCTCCCGGGTTCAAGCAATTCTCCCTCAGCCTCCCGAGTAGCTGGGATCACAGGCACGTACCACCATGCCTGGCTAATTTTTGTATTTTTAGTAGGGACAGCGTTTCTCACCTTGTTTGTTAGGCTGTTCTGAAATTCCTGACCTCGTGATCCACCCGCCTAAGCCTCCCAAAGTGCTGGGATTACAGTTGTGAGCCATTGCGCCTGGCCAAAGCAAATTATTTTCTAAGACATTTACAATATATATCTTCCTATGTTTACATGTGTTCATTTCACATTTCACATTTATCATGTTTTCCTCTATGACATGATTCTGTGTGAGTAATGTGTAGATCTTTATCTAGAATTGATTTTTGTGAAGAGTGAAACAGAGTGCTGACTCCAATGTCTGTTCAAAACTCATTTATTGAAAAGTCCACTCTTAATGTCTGATTTGAAATGTTACTTCATTATGTGTTAAATTTTTTCATTAAGCTATTTGATATTCCTAATAATGCATTACTTTGATTATAGTTTGGTATGTTTTCAGATTTGGGGCAAAGCCTTCCTAAAGTTTTATAAAAATTTGTTGACTTCTGGTTAGCATATCTCTTGAAGTTTTGATACAGATTGCACCACATTTACAGGACTGATTTGGAGAGACCTGTAATATTGAGTACAGTCCTCCCTTGGTATCCAGTTACAGGACTCCTCTGGATACCAAAATCCGAGCAGGTCCCACATATGCATATGAAAAGTCAGCCCTTGTATTTGAGGGTTTTTCATCCCTCAAATACCATATGTTTTATTTGCGTTTGGTTGAAAAAAAATTTGTATATAAGTGAACCTTCGCATTTCAAACCCGTGTTGTTCAGGACCACCTGTATTTCCCTTCAAGAACAATGAATATCTTCATTAAATCATCTTTTGTGGGAGAGCTCTTGTTTTCATGGATTTTCATATATATAAAATAAACACTTTTTGACATTCTGGGAATTTTGTTACTATAAGGAAATTTCATTTTCTAATACATATTTTATTTGGTTGTTGCTGCTTGTGGTAAAATGATTTGATTTTTATATTCCAATCTCAACTGCCGAACACTTTGTCAATACAGTCTCACTAGAAAATCCAAAAGAATTTTATCTTCTGCAATTGATGAGACTATTTCCTAGCCAGTATTTGTGTACTTGAAATTTTTGTGCATTAGAAAGTTTTATACTTTAAATATATGCCCTTTTTAAAGATAAAAGCACTGAGGATAGAAAATATGTAGACTGATTGAAATACATATTTTGTATTGTATGAAAATAAATATAATTTAAAAGCTGTTATAATCCCCCAAACATTTTAAGCCTTGAGAGAGATGTGACTTTGATCTCAGTCACATATGGCTACTTCTTTTTCTTAGATTACAGATCAACTCACTTTCTTATTTTGCTTGTTCTATGCAGTGACTAGAGATAATTAAATGATTTCAAGAACAAAAAAACCTCTTGCCTTTTTAATGACCTTGTTATAGATCAATTTCCCCTTTATTATCCTGCTTTGCTTAGACCAGATGTCAGAAAACCTACAAGTATTTCACCCTCTTATGAAAAATGCTAAATGTACCCTCTCCCGAAAACCTATGACCAATTAAATTCCTATAAGTATTTCCCAACCTTGTATGAATAATGTTATAATCCTGCTAAAAGAAACTCCTCTGTCTCTGCCTATATAAATGAAACCTTAACTTCTCTACTTTAGAATACTGACTCTTTGGAGTTGGTGTTTCCAGGTGAGCTATCCTTAAACTTCGTACATTTATAAACTCTCTTTAAATTAGATTCATACCCTTTTGATTATTTTAGGTTCACATAAACAGCTTGTTAAAAAATTTGGGAAGGCCATAGTTTTGCACCGAGCTTTCTGCGCTGGGTTGCAGCAGACCAGACCAAACTATAATGAAGTCACTCATGCTAAATGCCACATAATCAAACAAACTTCAGTGAAGCAGGTAGATTACAAAACCATTGTTACCTCCGAAAACAGGAGATTTCAGTGTACCTGAGTCAGCACAATAAGGTGATTTTCTTCTACTTTAACCCTTACAAAAAAGTAACCTGATATTAACATTTTTTCTCTAGTGTTCGATTTCCTTGTTCTCATCTTAATAAAATTCCCTGTTCTGCTATTGTCCAGTGGGAGTTCTCATTCTACTTTATAGAATGAAGGGCTTCCCTGATGAATGGTGAATAAAAGCCAATTAAATTTATAACTGTTGTAATTTTGTTTTCTGACAAGCTAAATGAGCATTAAATAGTCAAAGTGCCCAGGGAGAGCCCGGTCATTGAGACAAGATTTTACTAATGAGTTTGCCTGCAAAGCTGATGTTAATATTTTTAAAATTATATTTTCTATCATGTTACTTAGGACTCTTGACTGCAAATTATTATCTTTAAACAGGAAGGGGAATTTAAGAATCCAGGAATACTGGATTATCTAATAAGGGTTAGGTCACTTTGTTTTCAGGAATTTTTTATAACCTGTGACACAGAAATGCAAGAAGTACTCTTTGAATTCTGCTTTTCTTTGCAGAGTGCTTCATTCCTTTGATTGTATTTTTCCTCTGCAACCAGTACCTGCCAAAGGCAGTCAACAATCCACTTGATGTGCAGTCTCTTCCTAGAGTTTGAGACTGTGCACTGGTGACTAAAAACCCTCCCATCTGGGTCCTAAGTGTTCCCCTCATTTATCACACTTCCCTTTCTTTTCATCTGGAGAAAGAGGAATCCCTTTGTTTTCTTTTTATAAGCTTTTCACTATCCTCCAGGGACAAAAAAGCTTTGCTCACCCCCACCTTCCTGTCTTCATCTCTCTCATAACTCTGTTATGCTAAAGTGAATATTATGTTTTTAGAGGATGGAAAGCTATCATGTCACTGAAAAATCCCATTTTTGAATTTTTTGAATGATATGTGTATTTGCATAATATTTTACCTTACAGCCCTGCAAAAAAAAAGCAGTCTCCTTTTGAGAAAGTTGCCTCAATCTCAGAAAAGGTGATACGTTTGGAAAGGCAAAGGAACAAGACCACATCAGGTTTTAAAGAATTCTTCTTATACATTTTTGGTCATTATTAGTCTTATTTGTGCTCTGCAGACTCTTGTTTTCTGATGTTAATAGTTTGAGATCCTGAAACTCTCAAGCCAAAATTGTTTCCAAGAGTAATATCACTGATTGAGATATAAATTTAATACAATATAAAGCATATACCTTGCAGTCCTTCCCCCTTAAGGCTACGCCATGGACTTACTGCAAGGGAAAGGGAGCAGTGATATTAGAGAAGGTAACAAACAGTATAGGCCAGTGGTTCTCAAAGTGTGGTTCCCCAATTAGCAATATCAACATCACCTGGGAACTTAGAAATGCAGGCCCCACTACAGAACTACTGAAATAAGAAGTCCGTGGGTAGGGGCTAGCAATATGTGTTTTAACAAATCTTGCTGGTGATTTAATATAACTGAACTTAGAACTGGAGAAGGGAAAAAAGGCTATGAGGCATAAAATTCTCATCTGTGATCCCTCTTCATTCTAGGAAGAAACCTAAGGAGGGAAAGTGAGGAAAAGGGTTGAAGATAGAATTTGTAGACCTTGGCCCCAGATCTAGAAGTAAAAGGCGAAGAGGGAATGGAGGATTCATAGGAGAAATCACTGGGTACATTAAGTAGAACTCCGGAGATGTGGGGCTAAGTTCTGACTCCCCTGGAGGAGACTGACTCACGGGGCCTCTGTCCTGACATATGGTAGCCATAGTCAATGGGTGTGACTTAGGCAGAAAGAAGTAACAGTGACAGCTCACAGTTTCCATGATTGTGGGTGACACTGGGAGGGCTCTGGAGGTTTCCACCTGCTCCCTGAGGGGAATGAGTGAGGCAGCTGGGGGTAGAATGCCAGTAGGCCTGCTGGGGCAGAGTGGCTGCTCCACCGTGTGGCCCAGGGCCCAGTTGGAAGACGGCAGAGACTCAGGGCACAGGCTAGGTGGGACCATGGCCCTGGTGGAGGGAGATGAGAAAGAAGAGAGTGTGGCAACTCAGAAGGCACTCACACGTCGTGAACCTTACTTTGTGAGGAAAGAAACAGACATGGCAGGGAATTTGAACATAAAATCTCAAAAGTATTATCCAAAAGAGCCTAAGCTAATGTGAAAGAGACTAAGATATTTTTTAATTGGTACTTTTGTTCCCCATCCTAAATCTAGTAATATGAGGGCTCGTGGTGAGATTTAATCAGTCGGATATATAAAATAAAGAATTCTGTAGGGATCTTTTTTCCGGTGTTGGTGTACAATATGCTGAATTTTCCAATTCCAATTATGCTAATTTCCAATTCTAGCTGAATCTACTGAATGTCTCTGAAAAGATCCATAAAATATTCAAAACTTAGTTTTATCTCTATTTTGCTAAGATGATTTATTGACACTGCAGACATGTAGATAACAATCGTTTACTGTTCTCTGAAAATATAAAAATTCCATAAATCTTTGCAAACAATTTTTAAAAATTTAGCAATATTGTTTATTGCTACCACAGCCAAGAATGAATATTTCAAAGCCAGGGTTTTGGTTTTGTTTTGCTACCCTTTTTTTTTCTCCACTATCTCTAGCTAAATTCCAGCCTTTACTATTAATTTATTTTTTCTCATTTGAACTTTCGCAGAATGATGTCTGCCTCAGAAATCTGGCCCTGTTTCCTCACTCCTGGCCACACCCTATTCTCTAGAGTAAAATATGATGCAAGCCCAGTGGGTGACGGAATGGTGAGTTAGTGAGTTATCGAAGCCTGGACTCATGCTGCCATGTGGATTTAATTTCCATGAAGCATCATATACCCAAAAAGGAGCATGTACCTGACATCTTCCCCA